GTGGCATCACAGCTCACAGTAATCTCCAACTCCTGGGCTCAAGCGAGTCTCCTGCCTCAGCCTCCCAAGTAGCTGGGACCACAGGCGCCTGCCACAACGCCAGGCTATTTTTTTTTTCTTTGGTTGCAGCCGTCATTGTTGCTTGGCGGGTCTGGGCTGGGGATTCGAACCCGCCACCTCAGGTGTACATGGCTGGCGCCTTAGCCGGTTGAGCTATAGGCGCCGAGCCTACAATCTTAATATATTATTATTTCTAAATTAATTAAGCTAATAAGAAAATATTAAAGCAACAGACTAAATACTTTCACAAGTGGTGGAAGGTAAATCAAGTTTGAAAAGAGTGAGAAAAAAATACAATACTTTGGTGAACTCTGATTAGAGATGATTAGGACAGAAGTTAGTATCCTTACTATGACTAATCTATGCAACCATTTTCACTAAGATGAAAAAGAGAACAGAGAGACTATTGGAATAGTGACAGTCTAGATGGAGAGGGGAGAGTACCAGTGAGTAAAGGTCATGGCCTGGAGATATAGGATTAAGAGGGCCAACTACACAGAGGTAGCACATGCCTCTTCCTCAGAGAGGAACCACAATAGGAAGCAGATTCTCACACTTTGAACAGATCATCAAGGAGATAACACTAGGGTTCACCAGGGAACGAATAGGAAGCAACTGTCTGGCAATGGATCCTAATCAAAAAGAATTTCTTATAATGGGTTGGTGCCTGTGGTTCAGTGGGTAAGGCGCTGGCCCCATTTACTGAGGGTGGCGGGTTTAAACTGGCTCTGGTCAAACTGCAACAACAAAAAAAAGCCGGGCATTGTGGCGGGGACCTGTAGTCCCAGCTACTCAGGAGGCTGAGGCAAGATAATCACCTAAGCCCAGGAGTTGGAGGTTGCTGTGAGCTCTAATGCCATGGCACTCTACTGAGGATGATAAAGGAAGACTCTGTCTCAAAAAAACAAAACAAAAACAAATGGGCTTTGCAATAATATTGGCATCTAGCCACTTATATAGGAAACTCCAAAATATCAATAGCAGACCTCTTGGCAGAAACACTGTAGGCCAAAAGAAAATAGTGTGGCATTATCAAAGTGCTAAAAGAAAATACTGTCCATCAGAAGTTCTATATCCTGCCAGAATAAGCTTCACAAATAAAGAGTCTTTCCCAGACAAACGAACACTGAGTGAGTTTGTCACAACCAGACCACCCTACAGAAAATACCAAAAGGAGTCTTAAACATGGAGGCAAAAGGTCAAAATTCACTATAACAAAACACAGGAAAATGTTAAAATCACAAGTCTTATACAACAATAATGCCACACAAAAGAGGAAGAGAAAGGAACTAAATGGCAACATGGCAGAAGTTCAGTAAATTGCTAGGCACTGTGGCTCAACACCTGTAATCCTAGCACTCTGGGAGGACAAGGTGGGTGGATTGTCTGAGCTCAGGAGTTCAAGACCAGCCTGAATAAGAGGGAGACCCCGTCTCTTGAAAAAAAAAAAATAGCCAAGGCGGAGCCTGTGGCTCAAGGAGGAGGGTGCTGGCCCCATATAGGCGCCAGCCCCATATATCAGAGGTAGTGGGTTTGAACCTGACCCTGGCCAAAAACTGAAAAAAAAAAAAAAAAAAAACCAGCCATTATGGCAGGCACCTGTAGTCCCAGCTACTTGGGAAGCTGAAGCAAGAGGATCGCTTGAGCCCAAGAGTTAGAGGTTGCTGTGAGGTATGACACCAGGACACTCTACCAGGTGACAAAGTGAGACTCTGTCTAAAAAATAAGTTCAGTAAACCACAAGAGAAAAAGAAACAAAGAAATTTATAAAATAACTAGAAATCAACTAGTACAAAACTTCTTTGAAGAAGAGGTTAAGAAAGAAACAAAACCTCACACATTAAATTTGAACATAAATGGATGAAATCGTCCACTTTAAAAATATAGATTGGCAGAATGGATTAAAAAACATGATCCAGGCCAGGGGCAGGCTCATACCTGTGATCCTAGCACTCTGGGAAGCTGGGGAGGTCCCTTGAGCTCAGGAGTTCAAGACCAGCCTAAGCAACAGCAAGACCCTGTCTCTAGTAAAAATAGAAACATTACCTGGGTGTTCTGGTGAGGGCCTGTAGTCCCAGCTAACTGAGGGGCTGAACCAGAAGGATTGCCTGAACCCAGAAGTTTGAGGTTGTGAGCTAGGCTGACACCATGGTACTCTAGTCTGGGTAACAGAGCAAGATTCCGTCTCCCTCTCAAAAAGATCCAACTATATGTTGCTTATAAGAAATATACTTTATACATAAAGACACATATAGACTGAAAGTAAAGATGTGGAAAAACATATTTCATACAAAAGGAAACCAAAAGTGAGCAATGGTTACACTTACATAAAATAGACTTAAAATGAAAAACAGTTAAAAAAACAAAGACAAAGAAAATCATTATATAATGATGAAGGGATCAATCCAGCAACAGGATTTAACTATCCTAAACATATATGCATCAAACATCAGGACACCCAGATTGAAACTCAAATTCAATACAAAATAGGTATTACTAGACATACAGAAAGAGACAAACAGTAACACAGTAATAACAAGGGCCTTCCACACCCTACTCACAGCATTAGATAGATCATTAAGACAGGAAATAAACAAACATTGGACTTACATTGGACTTTAGATCAAATGGACTTAGCATACATTTACAGAACACTTCACCCCAAAATTATAGAATATACATTCTTTTCATCAGCACATGGAACATTCTTCTAGACGGACTACATTTTAGGACACAATACAAACCTTAACAAATTTTTAAATACAGAAATCATATCAAGTATAATGGAATAAGCTAGAAATTAGTATGATGAAGAACTTCAGAAACTACACAAATACATGGAAATTAAACAAAATGCTCCTGAAGGATCACTAGGTCTATGAAAATCAAAAAATCGAAATGAAAAATAAATTTACAATGAATGAAAATGAAAATACAACATACAAAAAGCTGTGTGCTACAGAAAAAGCAGTGCTAAGAGAGATGTGTATAGTATTCAATAGCTACACCAAAAGAGCAGAGAGATCTCAAATTACCAACCTAGCATCACACCTCAAGGAACTAGAAAAACAAGAACCAACTGAAACCAAAGCTGGCAGATGAAAGGAAAGAGTCAAGATCAGAGCAGAACTACGTGCTCCACAAAGCAAAAATAAAAACCTCCACAAAGGATCAACAAAACAAAAGGTTAGTTCATCAAAAAGATAAGCAAAATTGCTAAACCATTAGCTAATGTAATTAAGAAAAAAAGGTCCAAATAAACACAATCAGAAATGAAAAAGTGGACATCACAACTGATATTACAGAAATAGAAAAGATCGTCTCAGCACCTATAGTTCAGTGGTTAGGGCGCTGGCCACATACGCTGGGGGTGGTGGGTTCAAACCAGGTCTGGGCCTACTAAACAACAATGACAAAAACAAAAAAATAGCTGGGCGTTGTGGTGGGCACCTGTAGTCCCAGCCTACTTGGGAGGCTGAGGCAAGAGATTTGCTTACGCCCAAGAGTTTTAGGTTGTTGTGAGCTATGATGCCATAGCACTCCATTGAGGGTAACATAGTGAGACTCTGTGCCAAAAAAAAAGAAACAAAAGAATATCAGAGACTACTACAAACTATATGCTCACAAACTAGAAAACTTGGAGGAAATGGATGAATTCCTGAAAGCATACAACTTCCTGTGATTGAACCAGGAAGAAAAAGAAATCCTGAATAGACCAATAATGAGTAGTGAGACTGAATAATAAAACATCTCCCCGCAAAATAAAAGCTTAGGACCTGATGGATTCATAGTTGATTTCTACCAGATGGACAAAGAAGAACTAGTGCCAAACCTACTGAAACTGTTCCAAAAGACTGAGAAGGAGGGAATCCCTTTTAACCCATTCTGTGAAGCCAGTATCACCCGATACCAAAGCCAGGAAAGAATGCAACAAAAAAGAAAGTACAGACTGATATCTCTGGTGAACACAGATGCAAAAATCCCCAACAAAATACTAGCAAATGGAACCCAACAATATATCAAATGAATAATTCACCACAATCAAGTTGGTTTCATCCCAGGAATGTAGCAATGGTTCAACATATGCAAGTCAAATGTGATTCATCTCGTGAACATAAATTAAGAACAAAAACCATATGATCATCTGAATTGATGTGGAAAAAGCATTCGATAAAATCTAGCATCTCTTCATGATAAAAATCATCAAAAAACTTGGTACAAAGGAATACACCTCTTAATAACAGCCATATATAATTAACCCACTGTCAACCCCATCATACTGAATGGGGAAAAGTTGAAAATATTTCCCCTAAGAACTAGAACAAGATAAGGATGCCCACTTTCACCATTTCCATTCAACACAGTACTAGAAATCCAAGTCAGAGCAATCATGCAAGAAAAAAAATATAGGACATTCATTTGGAAAAAGGAAATTATTTCTATATGCTGATAATATGATCTTATACCCAGAAAACCCTCAGGACTCCTCCAAAAGGCTCCTACATTTGATAAATGAATTCAGCAAAGTCTCAGGTTATAAACTCAATGTATAAAACCAGGCATGGCGGCTCATGCCTATAATCCTGGCTCTCTGGAAGGCTGAGGTGAGAGGATTGCTTAAGCCAGGGCGTTTGAGACCAGCCTGAGGAAGAGTGAGACCCCAACTCTACTAAAAATAGAAAAATTAGCCAGGTGTTGTGGCGGGTGCCTGTAGTCCCAGCTACTTGGGAGGCTGAGGCAAGAGAATCACCTGAATCCAGTAATTTAAAATTACTGTAAACTAGGCTGACACCATGGAACTCTAGCCTGGGCATCACAGTGAGACCCTGTCTCAAAAGAAAAAAAAAAAAAAGAGAGATGGCTATTATTAAAAAGTCAAAACACAGTAGATTGGCATGGATATCATGAAAGGAAACAAACATTGTCGGTGAGAATGTAAATTAGTACAATTTCCATGGAGATCAGTACGGAGATTTCTCAAAGAACTAAACATAGATCTACCATTTGATTCTGTAATTCCACAAGTGAGTATCTACCCAGATGAACAGAAATCATCATATCAAAAAGATACCCACACTCATATATTTAAATATTTCAGGGCAATTCACAATTGCAAAGATAATGAAATCAAACTAGCACCCATCAACTGACAAGTGAATAAAGAAAATGTGGCATGTGTATACCAAGGAATACTACTACTAAGCCATGAAAAAGAATGAAATGATGTCTTTCGCAGCAACTTGGATGGAACTAGAGACCATTATGATAAGTGAGATATCTCAGGAACAGAAAATAAATGCTTTATGCTCTCACTTATAAGTGTAAGCCAAACTAGGGTTACACAAGGGCATACAGAATGGTATAATGAACACTGGAGACTCATATGGGAGGAGAGGGCGGGGGAAGTGAGGATGAAAAATTAACAATTGGGTACAGTGTATAGTACTTGGGTGTTGGGTACACCAAAACCCTGGACTCCACCACTACCTAATACATATGTATAATGAAACTCAACTTTTACCCGTTACATCTGTTAAAATAAAAAAAAATTTTCTAACTGCTAAAATAGATAAATAAATAACATAGCCTAAAAATCACTGCTTTTTAAAATATTCATGAAGGCTGGGTGTGGTAGCTCATGCCTGTAATCCTAGCACTCTGGGAGGCTGAGGTGGGAGGGCTCTTTTGAGCTCAGGAGTTCAAGACCAGCATAAGCAAAAGCAAGACCCTATCTCTAAAAAATAAAAAAAATTAATTGGGTGTTGTTGTGGGCACCTATATTCCCAGCTACTCAGAAGGCTGAGGCAGGAGGATTGCTTGAAACCAGGAGTCTGAGGTTGCTGTGAGCCAAGCCCTGGGTAAAGTGCTGTGGTACTGGGAGTCATAGCTCACAGCAGCTTCCAACTCGTGGGCTCAAGTGATCCTCTTACCTCATTTTTTTTACTTTTAGTATAGATGGGGTCTTGCTTTTGCTCAGGCTAGTCTTGAACCCATAAGCTCAAACAATCCACTTGCCTCAGCCTCCCAGAACGCTAGGATTATAGGTGTGAACCACCATGCCTGGCCCTGAAAAAAGGTTTTTAAAGGACTGTGAGTATAGTTACTAGATAATAGTTTTGTGCCTATTATTTTATATGACTTTGTACATTAACAATTGGTTTTTCAAGTTTAAAATGCTTATTTTTTATATATTTTCTATTTTCAGTTACATTTGTTAGCTTATTTAGTATGATTCATGACAAATACCTACTGACAATTAACAAAGCCAATGGGCTAATATTCTGTTAGGACCTTTGATATTGGGAATTATTATAAAAATTACAAATAAGAAACAAGATAGAATGAAACAAAGATTTTAGTAGTAACATAAACCATTAGTAGCTCCTAGAACCAAGTATATTACCTAACATGTAACACACGATTGATACATTTGAATGAATAAATGAAAAACAGGATATCTTTAAAGTCACAGTAGGTTTTGAAGCTGACTGTCAAGTTGATATGATACAGCAAAACAGTCACAGAAAAAATGAAATGGAAACCGCACAAGTGATTTAAAAAAGGAAAGAACAACTAACCGAGGAAGGCTGTCACGCGGCTTGTGCTCTTTGCAGTGTTCATTTCAAGGACAAAGTCAGCATGTGTGTTATAGCCAAGTAGTTTGGCTACTTTGGCTCTCAGTGGGAGCAACTGCTGCAGAATGACGGTATTTTCCTAGTAATAAATAACAAACAACAACAAAAGCAAAACTTAATCATTAGTTTGACCCAAAGTACTAAAAAGAGTTATTACATGTATTACATGTATTTTTACGTTCATAAAATTGTCAAGTATTTCTAGACTATCTTAACTTCTGGTTCCATTTCAGTATTTTGAACTTTTTTCTTTTGATTTATGAGCGAATATTTTTTCTGAAATAATTTATGACTTTTTAAATCGCCTGAGATAGTATACGTCTATGAAGTCTCAGTAGAATTTGAGGTACTATAAACAGAGTGCAAATATATTCTTAAGGATGATAGTGACTCCACATTTATTCTCATTGGTAGAACTGCACCAAATATTAGTGCTTAATTTTTGGTGGAAATTTTTATTGTGGTAAAATATACATAACATAAAATTTACCATTTTAACTTCATATCCATTTGTATGATTACTATAAAAACAAAACCAGACAGTGTATTGGTGAGGGGGTGGAGAAAGTGGAATTATTGTGATTTGCTCATGGAAATGTAAAATGGGGCAGATGCTGTAGAAAATAATTCCTTAAAAAATTAAAGGTAGAAATACAGTCTGCTTCAACAATTCAGCTTCTCGGTGTATACTTGAAAGTATTGGCCCGGCGCCTGTGGCTCAAGC